TCGTTTTATCTGATCGCGATTATACCGGATATTACAAACGGATTAAGTTTCATATTTGCCATAATTAGACAGCAATATCTTTCTTGTTTCTTTCAGGGAGGAAACTCGTGTAATTAGTGTACTCGTAAGAGTGTTATTCATCTTCACGGTCTGTAACGGTCGACTGTATTATCTCAATGGCCTCGTCGAAACTTCTCCTCCGGTTACTTCGTTAAAGCTCCTCGGACTCCATTATTAATCGATTTGCATGACGCCCGCCTCTGATGTCGTAAAGATATTAAAGATGCTCACTTTTGCGGGCGATCGAGACTACCGTATAGATTACGCGGTGTCTCGAGAAGCGTTACGTCGTGACACGAAACACTGGTCGAACACGGCGTGATAAACATTCGCCACGCCCACTTTATATAATTATACGCGGGCTTATAATTACTGGGTTGTAAGCTGTAAACCGGCGAGACGAGTCGGTGGCAGTCTAAAGAACCTGACGCCATATATCAGCGTTCGACGAATGAAATATCGGCGTGTCCGAAACAAACGTCGGATTAGAGCCTACGATAATCGTCTCTCACGAAATTATCGAATCCTGTTCGCGCGTCGTCAGGAAGAGAACAAGAAAAGCACGTTGCGCGTCGCTGATAAATCTCGTTGCGGAATTGATAGCTACGCGCGAAATCGCGTTCGTAGCGAAAGAAACTAATATCCGGGCTAGATAGGCCGAGGTATATTAATTGATCGAAGAAATAGAGAGTTGATTTGTTCATTAATGAACCAATCAATTACTCGTAAAACTAGGAAAAATCGTCCATATTCGTAGGACGAAGGATATGTTCTCGATTTTTAATATCTTAAAGCCATTTTGTGTTAGATAACTGAATCTATGATCAAATTTTAAATGAGATGAAATCACAATCAGACCAATATTTCCACAGAAAGAACAGTTTTGCTAAAGTATTAAAAATTTTTTTCAATTAGAAATATTTATGTTTATTTTAGAATATTTTAACCATTTTTTAGAAAATTCTAGATCTCCTTATCTAAAATTTAATAGAAAAACAAGAAATTTTTCACATCAATACTACGTATTTTATCATTCTTGTAATGTAAATTACAATCGGATTTAACGGCTAAATATAACATTAAATCTACAACAAAAGAATATGGGTCATTGTAGTCGGCACGCAAGGATATTGTTTTATTTATATCTTACATCCAATACGTAATTTGTGCGCGCATCCCGTTTCACGCCGTTTCTTGCAACGCGAAACGCGAACAATGAGACGCGATTTATAGATCGAGATAAAAGATTCATCGGAACTGCCATGTGCGTCCATCACTTCCTGCATCTTATGATCCTGATTATTATCTCCGGAATGCCATGGGTGATCTTAACTCACGCAGAAGCGTGGATAATTGGAGGACGATGGAGAGTCGTCTCCTTTCTACCGCCGAAAAATCCATGACGAATGCAATCACAGTGTTACAAATGCCGCCCTTCTTTCCGAAATGGATACGGTTCACGCCTTTCTTTGGTGCGCTCACGATAAATTAGTTAATATATTGTATATCCTGTATAGTGTGACCTAAATGAGCAGAATTCAATATACAATGATTTCATTTTGAAATAATTTATGTTCTAGAAATAACAAGTATTACACGGAAAGAACAATTTTTTTTACTAAAGTATCTAAAAATTTAGCTAAATACAGACTTGAGAATAATTATGTTGGACCATCAAAATAATTATGTATGTAATAATTATGTACGTTTAAGGTGGTTATTAGAATGTCAAAATTTTTCGCACACATTGTTCATCATGTTTGAGCATCTTACATAATTATTTTTGATAGTCCAATAAAATTATTTTCAGATCATAAACTAAAGTTAGATATGTACTTCACTTTTTAAAACTTAAAGTAAATCTTACTCTAAACAATGAAAGCTTATTAAAAATTGAAAATTGAGCCACTCTTTTTCAAGACTGACTGCCACTCAATTTTCAATCTTTACAGAGATTCCACTTCAAAGAATTTATAGAATAACAATTCGATATCGAATTTGATTTTGCGAAGAAATCTATTCCATATTCATAAAAAATCTCATGACACAATAACTCCTCGTAAAGCATTTTTGCCGAAAAGAGCTCTTCGAACGGTAGCGCTAACTCGCGAAATGGCACGTAGCAAAAATTAACGTTAACACTCTCAGACGGTAGTGGCGGAAAAAGAACAGCAATAAAACCGTGAATGGATTCTGCCGTAACGGTATTCGCGTGGCGAACAGTCTGTCGAACAAGGCATCGTAAAACACGCGTGTTCATTCGGTTTCGAGAACAGGTTCGAGACGACCGAGCATCGTCTGGATGGCGAGACGCATCCTATCTCTGAGAGTCCTGTCTTCTCCTCTCTCTTCTCGCCTCACACACGTAATTACTGGCACGCTCGCATAAATAAGCCTGGCTATCTGCTACGACGTGATTAACTGAGATCGAAAGAATCGGAAAGAAATTCGTCGCGTGTGGCTAGGCATTACGACCCCTAGAAATGAAAAGAGAGGAACAGGATAAGGAAATTTTATGAACACCCCGATACAGTCCGACGCCTCCAGCTGATACCATGGCCGGTATTTGTAGTCGATTCTTATATTTAAGACCATATCTTAAGTATAGGCTTAAAATATCATAAACCAATCACAGGACCATATTAACATTTTAAAACATTATTTAAGAAGGTGATTCTTGAAACAAGAATAAGAATTCTTGAAATAAGAATGGACCAACAAAAATGTATTATATTGTAATAAATATTTGTGTGAATAATACTAATTTATCATTTACTTACAGTAAATAAATATTTACTAAATAAAAATATGATAGTTAAATTAATGGTTCTTGTATCAAATAAATATATTTGATTATCTTTAATGAACTTACATTTAATATAATACATCTAATACTATTTGAACAAATATTTATTAAAATTTAGTACATTTTTTTCTCATTATTTATACGAATATTGGTTTATGAGAAAAATATCCACGTTTTACGGGACTGTAGCTTCTTTTTTTTATTGTTTTTCTTTTGAGTAGCGGTCAAATTAATCAGAATTAGAAAAGATTAATAAATTAAGAATTTATATTGATGTAATTATTATTATATAAAAATGTTTTTTAATCAAAGCAATTTTTTGACAAATAAATTTTAAATAATTTATATTTTACGTACAAACACGTGAAAAACACACAAGAAGCGTTAACATATAAAAAAAAACATGTTTGCATTGCTGAAGTAAAATTGGTTGTCGTAACTATTCGAACTAGTTTTTCGTAGATCGTTAGCGATTATAGAGGATTGCTATAACGTGCAAAAAGTGCAAGCTGTAAAATAATATATAGGAAAGATCTTCACGAATACTGCCTTGAAAATAACGATCAATGGAATATTTCGATTACGACTGAGATGAGTATAAGTGATCTTAAAGGGAAGTCGCAATCAGCGTTGACCTGAGTGTCTCATAAAAGCTGAGCTTATGACAGTGTTAATGGTTTTTCGCATTTTTATACCTGCCTATAACCAAACTAGGATAGTGCGTGCGATAAAGTTACACGAGCTCACTATTAACAGATGCATTTACACAAAATAAAATTACACGTTAATTCTATAAGAAAAATCATAGAAGAGGATACATCGATTCTTGAAATTTGCTTTTAGTGATTCATCCGAAATCAATTCGAAAAGAACGATTTTGCTGCAAAATCTAAAATTTTACTGAATACAGATTTGAAAGTAATTTTGCTGAACCATTCAAATAATTTTGTTTAAAACTCAAACTGATTGCTAGAATAGGTTGCTAAAATATTTTGCATATTACTCATTTTTTAGTTTTCAGTAATTTTTTACGATTTATCAAAATTATTTTTAGATCTGCATTCAGCAAAATTTTTTATATATAGCACAGATGATTCTAGTAATATTGCAGTAACATTGCAAATATTACTGCAAGCTTTTGTGCTATATGAGCTTAGATCTTTCAGCAAAATTAGTGAAAGAACAATTTTCGAAGACAAGATTTATTTGTTTCTACTGCTTCCAATAGATAAATCGTGAGAACATAAATAATTCGCGTATTACAAGAAAACGACTAACCTATCACGAGAATGTATGGACTACTGCATTCGGAAGAAGAAGAAAGTTCTTTAGCCCGCGGCTACCGAAAAAAAGTAGTCGACTGATCCTTACATCTTGTCTCTCCCTTATGTCCCTTCATATGAAGCCACCATTCTGCTTTTCTACCTGCCAAGTTCTGTCCTCATTTTTTTTCTTATTAAGAAGTGAGAGAGACCAAGAGAGGCATCTTCGTGCCATTAAATGATAGCTAAACTTCTACTCTCTCCTTTTTATTTATTCGTTAGCTTAAAAAAACTATTTGAGTCTAAATATTTGAAGGAAAAACGATTCCTGTTTTTTACAAGAAAGAACATTGCACATTTGTTGCCCATACATCCGGTTTTTTTAACGATGCAGTTAACGTGATAATCGACATCGTTCGCAGTGAAACTTGTCACGTTCTTTGCTCGTTGTTTCTTCGTTAATGAACGGCAGTCGCATGAAAAAAGATCTTTTCACGCAATAGATGTTGATAAATCCTTCTTCGTGCACTACCAGGCACATTAAAATGCAATTCGAGCCTCTTTACGCGATACTTATTCGCTCGACGTCGTGATCATATCAAAACTAAAATTTATATTATGTACTACATCGCACGAGCTCGTAAACTAAGAATTTTTAACGAGTAAACGTTAAACCGATTTACAAGCACCCGAGTTTCCTGAAAACATATTCGTTTTAAAGAAAATAACGTTCCCATTATTTTTTATATTTTTTATATTTTCTGTATGGAAAGAACGGTTTTGCTGTATTTAAAAATTTAGCTAGATACAGATCTAAAAATAACTTTGTTGGATTGTCAAAATAATTATGTAGGATGCTCAAGATTTTTAGAATGTCAAAATTTTTGCATTTCATGTTCGAGTTTTTTACAATATTATTTTAATCTAACAAAATTATTTTCAGATCTGTATTTATCTAAATTTTTTGATACTTCAGCAAAGTCATTCTTTTCGTGTACTTTAATAAAACTGAATATATTTAAAAAGAATTTGTATTTCCTGAATGTAAAATTTACGATTATACCTTATAATTATCTTTGAAATTGTATATTTCATACATTTTTTTTATTTAAACCACTATAGAAATATCTAAAAGCCGATATTTGTAGGCTATTCTTATTTTCAAATCTTCGTCTTAAATAATATCTTAAGATGCCACGATCTGCTCTGTGATTGGCTTATGACATTTAAAGACTGTCTTAAAACGATCTTAAGTATAAGAATCGATTATGAATACCAATCTAAGACTTCTGATATTCTGAACTCTTTATCTCTTATAATTATCTTTATAAAAGCGGAAGAGACATGATACTAAATATTAATTTTACGCATTGCATGGAAAATGAACGCATCTGACCTGCCTATCGTGCCGAGGCTGCCTCTCTTCATATCGGGTAAGCAGTAATCGGGACTCTTGGTAGTATAGAGCAGATTATCGTGATGATACAGAGGCGGCAATCTGCCGCCAGATCTCAGCCTGACTTCTGCCGCAGTGGCGTATCTGCGTAGCAAACGGCTTCCGGCGACGGATGGTCCCGATGCACCTAAACCGCGCCAGCAGGTACGCACGCTGCAGGAACCCGACACCCCGTGGCACTTGCACTCCAAAGTCAAGGACTGCTCGACTGCCTATCGAACGAAGCGTTAATCGCGATTATATCGCATTCTTTCCGAAAATCAAGAATACCAATAGAATTCTTGGCTGATTTCATTTGTCTATTTACAATTAGACAAAATCTCAATTTGAAATATGCCTCTCAGTTTATTGATAGAGAATGAAACATGATTTTATCAAGATAGATACTCAATAGATAGAATCCTTTATTGGTTTTAGTTTTTCATATAGGCATCTTGATTCAAAGTATTTTTCTGATCACATTTTTTTATATCAAAACTCTATAAAATTTCAAAAATAATGAAAAATAATTAAATAATTTAAATCTTACCACCTGTACGTCTAATGCTCTTCTTATTTATCAATACTTGTGATATCGCAAACACTCACCCTCCTACCCGCTCTATTGTTGTGCATATTGACCGCGTGCATAAACTTCGCGGTCCCTCCGGTACCAGGCGGCGTTGCACCCTGAAGAAACCGCTTAGCCATCCTTGAAGCGGATCTTACATCGTCCCCGCAACCGCCCCACTTGAAGGAGTTCCTTACGGACAGCGTGTCGAAAGAGACGGACATGGTAGTGAAAGATGAGGGCGAAATAAGCGCGGATGGCGAGGGTGGCTCTCTTCGCGGTGGAGTCGCGCAAGAACAAGCCGCCAAGCTCCCCAAAGCGCATCCTCGCGCGAGCCTCCAAACCGCAGCGGCGGCCGACATCGCATAGACGAAGGCTTGTTCTCGCGTTCCTACGATAAATGTGCTCATTGGAATGTGAAAACAGAAATGTATTCTCTAAAATCTTTGGATCTAATTCCAAAGAACGACAAAGAAATGATAATTGAGCTAGTGTTGAAAAAGATTCAATTTTTAAGAATGAGATTTTAAAATTAGATTCCACTCCAAATATTTTAAAGAGCGCGTATGAAAATTGTTTGCTAAAATATTTTAAAATTTAGCTAAATGTAGATCTAAAAATAATTAAAAATAAAATAAATAATTAAAATTATTTTGGTTTATCAAAATAATTATATACAAAACTTAAGCATGCATTCTTTTGTAAAAAAATTTTGACAATAAATTATTTTTAGATTTGTATCTGGTTAAATTTTAAATGTTTTTAGCAAAACCATTCTTTCGCATAATAATTAGTATTAGCATAATATATCTTCAAATTTATTCCAATTTAATTTAACAATTATGCTAACGGATTATGTTTAATGTATTATAACGATGTCAAATCAGATTTGACGTAACGTTCTTGAATTAAAGACCATGCAATTCTTTCTTCTTTCGTCAATCAAGATGATTGAGGAAAAGCTGATTATTGTATTCTCGAGAGCGGAAAATACAACGGCGAATAGTTACGTTCGTGATCGTATAATGTATCTCTCATTGGCGCTTCTCAGTTTTCTCATTAACGGAGGATATCTCGATCTCTCGAGCACACTTTTATTTACAATATAATCATCGTGAAACGCGAGCGATTAATCCAACGGAGGCCCGATCGCGAAGAGGAAGGATGAAGACCGTGGGGAGCTACGGTTTGTTAATGATCGCTAATTGAGACGCGCCCGCCAGGTCTTCCTATTTACGTCAGAATTCCTCAAAGGATATTCGATACGTTTTCCATCAGAAACCTTCATCTACTTCCCTCCGTTGTGCAAAAATCAACGATTATAAATCTGTTATGAGCGAAGTCGGTAGGCAACGTATTTTCTTATTTAAATACTTAATACTTAATTTTTAATCAGTGCTAATTCTAAAATTGCAAATCTTCAGATGAGAGAAATCTAATATCTTATTTTTTTCCTTGTTAACTTCCTTCGTACTTGTAATCTTTAATATCTTTCCAAACAAGGAATCAATTTTTGCGATTATCATACTTGAATCTCTTTCGTGGAATTTATACGGACATTTTATGTCATTTTCAATTTTATCGATAACGTTGATTGCCATAATGATCACCGGTGCTATTAAATTTATCTTTAATGCTCATAAAAAATAACATATAATTCCTTTAGAAAAATTTATTTACTGTAAATATTAAATTGGTTAATGTTTAATTACTTATTCTGAGTATTAAATGCACTAAAAAAGTATTTTTAATATAAGTAATTAAATAGTTAAAATAAGTAATTAATTATCAGCCAATTTAATACCTACAATAAATAAGTTACTTAAATTTCTCTAAGGATTTTAACTGACTTAAATAAGATAAACAATACAAAGTAAAAAAAAATGCACTATACAATACACTACACTTGTGAGGATATAATATTATTTAATCAAATTACAAATATTTTATCATTATAAGTTTATGATAATGAAATTTAATTACACATACACGATACAAAAAGCGTATAAAAGCTGGACAGATAACATGTTAACAGACCTGTAAGTAATTCAGGTGTGTAGTCAGGCGCGCGCTCGATGCTGCTACAGTTCCATCTGCGATGTCTGAAGGCCTGCTGGCATACCGTTGACGTATCTTTAGCGGCTTGTACCAAGGCAGGCATCACATCCGGCGCAGCTCTGCATGCCCTTGCTTGTTTCCTCTCCAACAGACCCGCGCTCTTCGCACTGGTGCACGCCTCTCTGGTCCACGTATGCGTGTCGCTTGTGCGACCGAGGCCGCTAAACACAATGTTCTCTGTCTAAATATGCAATTTTATCACCGAAAGAATCATGTTTATTGATTGCCAAAAGCTCTAGGAAAAGTATTATGGAAAAATCTAATTAAATTAAATCTAAACGCATCTGATGTATCATACCTATCTAATCTAACCAGAGATTAAAATTGGAATTGGAATTTAATCAATAAGAAGAAAGAAAATTTATATCAAGTTTAACTGATTTATAAAATTTAAATGCACTAAAAAAATATTTTTTAATATAAGTAATTAAATAGTTACAATAAGTAATTAATTATCAGCCAATTTAATACCTACAATAAATAAGTTACTTAAATTTCTCTAAGGATTTTAACTGACTTAAATAAGATAAACAATACAAAGTAAAAAAAATGCACTATACAATACACTACACTTGTCCATCCAATCTTAATTTTCTTTATGGACTTTATTAGAAAATTCGGGATTGTAAAGTTAAAACTATATATGATTAAAGATAAAGCCAAATTTATATCAAAAAAATATATTCCACATAGAGTATAAAATTTGCTTCTCATAATATATATGTCACACATAGTCGAAGATTGTAATTTGTATGTTTGTGAAAATTCGACGGCAAACGGTCTCATAAATAAGAATTTTTAGAACGAATGATCTCGTTTTCCCGCCCTTCAACACTCCAAAACATGCGATCGTGGAATTTGGGGTGGAACACTCGGTATGTACAATTCTGTCGGGCGATCAAACCGAAGAGCCGACAGCCGTGAGCGATCCACCTCTTTTGGTAGACAATCCCGGTGCGGAGCCGTAAATCAGGGGGTGAATTTCGAAAATTATAGGGCGCGAGGCTGAAAAGGGCTCGCGTTTAAGTGCCGCGGGTTGAATGCTAGAACTCTCGACTCGCAACGCGCGAGAGAGCGTACGTTGGGGATAATAATTACGGACACCTGAAAGTCGAAATGATCGTACACGCGGCCCCGCCGTGTCTAGACATAACAGCCCTGAGAATGGTCGGATCGCCAACCCCATGTCACGGAGCCTACCCTCGGAATTACCCTATCAAAAGCCCGCGGTTCTCTAATTCGTTATTACTATCGCAGCAAGCTCGTTCATTCCCTCCCGATGACATTTCGGGGCTCGCGTTACGACCCGACCCGGAGAATCTAATTTCCGCGTAAACGCTCGCGAGCGTACACTCGCGTTGCTTTACGACCCATTGTGAAATCGCGATGCCTTGAATAAGACCCGCAGCAATGCAGTGGTTGGATCTTCCGGGTTCTTATTGATAGGTCTATCTTTAGATCATACGTATCTTTAGACCACCTACTTAAGAAAATAATATTGAATTCACAAGTTCCCTTGAAATAAATAGATATTTTTGCGAGATGCTTTGACTGTGACTGCATCAAAGTAAAAATATATCTCAACAAAAAAAGAACAAGAAAAAAAGAAAAGAATATATTCTACAAGGATGGCAGTAAAAGATTACATCTCTTTATGAGGGTAACGCGAGCACATTCTTCGCACGCACGGCTCGTTAAAGCCGCATGTATGAAGGGTGTAAAACTTCGCAAGTTCTCGAGCTTTGCCTTCGCGAATCGTTATTTGTAAAAAGAAGAAACGAGAAGGGAAACGTTCTCCCGAGAGCAGTCTAAGAATTTCCACGATGCTTGTTCTTTACGAGCCATAAATATCCGATTCAAATTATCAGCTCATTAAGTCTCCACTTCGCGATAATTACTTTGGCGATCCGCCGATCAACTAACGAAGAACTCACGCATAATTCGCTGACAAAATAATAAATATTGCATGCCGTGTTTTGTATCGCAAGAGTCGATTATCGGCTTGATATCTTAATTGATCACTCGAATGCAAAATAGAAATTAAATCTCGGATTAATTCGACCACCAACGTGAATGATCTTAATTTTATTTTTTTCCGTCAATATTAAGTGCGTATAGTGAAAGGCAAATTATTCATTAGTCAGCGTCGAATTTATCTTTTCAAAATTAATAAATGTGTTTGCATTTCAAGAGTAGATTTTTGCTTTCACTATAAAAGTTAAGTAATAATTCTACCGAGATTCTAATAATAAATGACATACACTTGTCGAAAATTAGAAAGCGTAACCGGGCGTTCACGTTAGATCCCAATTATGATTTTTATCACGTTAGATCCCAATTATGATTTTATTTAAGATTTTTTTTAGATTCGCTTTAAGCGATATATGAGACGATATGATTAATCAGTTTCTGCAAAAGTTTTTAATTAAATAATTAAATAATTTACAAAAAAAATCATGTTAAAGTTGTTAAAATTTCAAAATATTATAAGTTTAAATAAAAGAACTAATTGTATAATGTACTTACAACATTTCCATTTTTCTCCGTAATAGTACTTCAAATTACGTACTTTAAACTACGCTAAATATTAATATGTGATAGAACACAGTACTTATAACCCATTCACAATAAAATGCACTTTTACAATTTTGACAGAATGTCTTGCCGTGGCACACATCATATTTTAAAATCGTAAGAAATTTTGAGAAGTACGTTAAGAAAATAAGTTAATGCTTTGTTCAATATTTAAGATAACTATCAACTTTTCAATTTCGATTATCGCACTCTTAAGCTATCTTTCCTATGGGCAATATCGAGGCTTAACAAGGTAGATGTTTATAAGTTGATAGTTTGGCACCCGGAAAGACAGTCGAAGTACAATATTTAATGGGCAATCAGTGCGTACAGCCATTTGCCAAGCAGGCAGACCAGATCTAGCAGAACGCATGACAGGCTACTTATGCCTGTACTTATACTATGCGGCTAGATGTGATTTTAAGCTGCGTTATACATTATTTAGCCCGCAGCTTTGTACGCGATGTAATTTATGAGCCGCTCTCTCAAGACAAATGCATGACTATTTGCTATCGCACGTTAGATAATTAATTGTCAGCGGCAGCGCGTAGAACGTCAGGCCAATCGCAATGCCTGGAGCGACATTGTGCAGTTTACTTTCAATTAATTTCTAAGATTGCACCAGGTATATACGTTAACTAACGTTGAGAATGTTAAAAGTCAACGAAGGATTTGATTGGCAAAGTATAGTTTTTATTGCAAAATTAATTGACTACTATAAAATTTAGCATTGCTAAATTAGCCGATTGGCTGATTAAATAAGATGATAACAACGTACGATAAACACTGAATAAGACATGAATAATTTACATAAGATAAATATCTTGCAGTAATGAAGTGAAACTCGATACAAAGAACTATCGAGATTTCATAGGAATGTAAAATGCGACGGCAGTGGAAACGAGCAAAGATTTACGACGTGCCTCAGTACGTGATATAATTGTTCATTGCAATGCAGCTAATAATTTACGAAATACAATGAAGATACGATATACAATAGAATATAAATAATGTAAGCATTGACACAACACTTTATAAACACAATTACTTATTAAAAATTTTTTCGCCAGAATACTCGTGCTCTTTCACAAAAATTTGATCGTGTTACATAGAGAAAAACACTTTTTTTTAGACCAAAATATATTGTTCATATACATTGTGAAATAATTCCTCTGTAAAGCACAAATCGCACTCTTGTAACATAAAGCAAGTAAGATATGAGACAATTTCCCATTCCAATCTTCCACACTCTTCAGACAGTCGCTACCGTCCAGGAAAATAATGACGTTTTTTATCAATTTACAATTTGATATCCACATCGTTAACTGTCTCATTTTACGTGTTTCTACGACGATTGTGATTCCAACAACAGTGAGAAGTTCACGGACGTTCATGACGGGACATTCTTATGAAAATGCATGGCGCGGTTTCTTCATCGAGAAAAAGGAAAGGTCGCGACGTGCGTTTTGAAACGGTCTATTGACCGGCTGCACTTTCGAAATTCGTTTTGACTGGTGGAATCGTAAAGCGTAGTTTTTACGAGACCGATAATAGGCGCGGGCGCCTACGAGTCTCTCCATTTGCAGGAGGTTGAAAGAGAAGCTGTTCAGGTGCTCATCCGGGATGATGAGAAAAGAAGTGAAATCGGCCGTCTTAAACCCACAAACATTCGAACACAACAGATCCGTATATATTTACGCATATTAATTATTATTAACGATTTAGAACTGTATTCTTCAAGAAAGCTCTTCAAGAAAGAGGATAAAAAGTATTAAAAAAATGCATAGAAAGGAAATGTAAAAAAATTTATAACTGGCCTAGATTATCATCGCTCTTAATCAGCGACATGGCACTTCTTAGAAGTAGAACATTTTTATAAAATATAATTATAGATATAATTATGTAAGATGTGATGCAAAAAGTTTTAACATTCTAGCAATCAGTTTTCATAATTATTTTAATGGTTTAAAAATTATTTTCAGTTCTGTATCTAACTAAATTTTTAGATACTTCAGCAAAATCGTTCTTTTCATGATCTCTCAAAATTGGACATATCTCTTTCGGTCCCAATGAATCAATCGTATTTCAATGCTTTTTATAATATTTTGCTTTTAATCAATTATACAAAATTATACTTCATTGATTGAATTCTGTTTCGTAATTAGCATCAATTTGTTTGTAATTTCTTTGACGTTGGTGTTTCAAATGACAAATTAACGAGACTCGCGACTTAGATCTCGTCGCGTGGGATGCGCGAGTTCCATCATCGCACCGATACAATCCACCTCGTTGCTCCAACTCGCGTCTTGCGTTAAGAATGCGTGATTTACGAGCGATGCATTGTAGAGATCGCTTCGTCAAGAATGATCTTATAAATAGCGACTCGCGTGTGATTCAGCGCGACCCTGCGGGCGCTTGTCGAGGGCTACGCGTAAATTATTATAAATCGATCCTCGTTCTCGATCCTGGCGAAGAAATCCTCGCTTGTGATCTCGCTGAAAGAGTTGCGGATCACTCTGCGAGAAAATGTTATTCGTGACGTCGTCTCGAAGCCATGATCTTCGAACTTTTAGATGATGATTAATGAACCCTTAAAACGCTCATGCAGAATAGATTGCTACTTTTTTTTAATCACGAAATCAGAGAATTGTATCAGGAATACTGCATGCTCCATAAAATATAAAAAAACTGCAATCCTTGTAAAAAATTTTACTCTTTGTTTTTATTTATACGGCTAAAGTATCTGAAAATTTAGCTAGATCTGAAAATAATTTTGTTAAAGCATCCAAAAGTTTACAGATGTGAAAATAATTTTGTTGGACTATTAAAATAATTATGTAGGGCTCAAGCTAATTACTAGAATATCAACATTTTTTACAGCATTATCTATTATACTTGAGCATTCTACATAATTATTTCGATTGTATAATAAAATTATTTTTTGTCTCCAACTAAATTTTTAGATATTTTAGCAAAATCATTCTCTCCGTGTCTATTTTTATCTATATCTCTGAGACTTGTCCAAGCTTCCTTAGTTTTCAACCTGAAAAACTATCAGTGCCACTATTTTCAAGATACCCATCGTTTCTCTTCGTTTAAAGCTCTACCATTTTCAGAGAAAACATCAAGTTCTGGCGGCACTCCTTAATACAGAAAGATCATCGTCCAACACTCGCTGGACGCTCCCTAAGCTAACGAGATCGATGGCCACTCAACTCACAAAAGAAAAACGGTGAGAATTTGGATCACCCTTCGAAATTATCCGTCAATGTCGGCTGCAATAATTATAAACAAGAAGGCCTCGCTTCTGGAGCGAGTTCTTAGAAAGCGTCGTTTATAAATCACGATTCCGTGGGCAACCCCTAATCTTCCACCCCTGGCATCCTCGTGCCACTCCTCGATCATCTTCCTTTCGTACTGCCCTTTCACCCCTTAGCACCGTATTCCCCCGTATTTTGGTTTTGCACGCAAAACCACCATCACTTCGCCATTCATCATCCAACGCCGCTCAACCTTCTTTCTGTTTCCGTTTTTCCCACTTCCCATCCCATTTCAAGGTGATCCTCATCTCCCTCCTTCTCGTCGATGTGATGAAACCCCTACGAATCGCATGACAATTTAACGCATATCCAGAGACCGTGGAATTCTTCGCAGGAAAGAGAGTTAACCAACAACCAATCATACTGCCTCGAATGTTAGTCTTCCGTGCGCAGCTCCAGATGAGAGGAACGATTCCTGAGATGATTGATAGAAATTGCGGAGTGATGAGAAACAACTTGCGGAACAGTCCTAAGTAAAATGAAGAAATGAAGAAAAGACAAATAATGATGTCTGTAGCAAGACAATCCATAATGAATTTACTTTCTTACACGTTATTTGTTTTATAATTATTATTTTATTGATCTTTGATGTATACACGAAAAAGAACGGTTTTGCTAGAATATTTAAAAAGTTGACTAAGTAGATCTGATAGGAGTATTAAAATATAATTACGTATAAGAATTGTTTTACATTCAAATTGATTGCTGAAAACTTTTTGCAGCATTATTCATCATGTTCGAGTTTCCTACATAATTTGATGGTCAAATTAAATTATTTTCAAGTCTAAAAAATTTTTACTAGTTCGATAAAGTTATTCTTTTTATGTGTGTGCAATCATTCCACGATCAACAATAATTAAATCTAAAGATTAGTCTATCGAAGTCGTCTTTGGTCTAAAGTGACATAGCAACAAATGAAAAAAGTATATTTAGATACTTTTTCTTGGAAAAAAGCTTGTTGATTTATTTTAAAACGTCATTTCTGCTTTAAGAAAGAAAAATCATAAAAAGTACTTCTGCTGCTGATAATTAAAAAAGCTGGCTGGTCTAAAAAATAAAAAGCGCTGCGATAAATTGGCCGCGAGGCGAGGTATCTAAAACCGGCACTGTAGTAATCATCTGCTTTTCATTTGCGAAACATATTGGCAAGGGATAACGAACGTGAAGCATCGTCGTCTATTTATGCAGCCCATAAAGCAACACCGACGATATCTTTATTCCTCGAGAGTACGAAATTTATGTCGACTGAGAATCGCCCCCTAAATCTCGCCTCCGATCTCCTTACGATTCAAGGAAAATAATGATCGAGATCGAGAATCGAGAGGCTACGTCTCTATCTCGCACGCACTTCGTGCGTTTCCCTCGACCACTAATCTATTTGTTTCTCATTAACGAACCAACATTAATCTTCGAACTCATTCGAAGCCACCACGAGCGAATGTGAGAGTGCAAATGGGACTCATCACAAGGGTTCGCAGGAGGACTTCTTGGATGTCTCTACTTTGACCAAACGATTAAAGATTGCCTGCAAACAGCTATGTATTTTTGGCTCGCTACTATAATTACGCAAATTCAACGTTTTACCTTCTCAGTTTAATTTTTTCTTATTCGGAAGGAATAATTTGGCTGAAGTATCTAAAAATTAGGTAAATACAAATTTAAAAATAATTTTATAAAAGTAAAATTATGTAGGAAACTCGAGAATGATGAGCAATACTGCAAAAAGTTTTGACATTCTAGCAACAATTTGAGTGTCTTAACTATTTTGATAATTTAACATTATTTTCAAATCTAGTAAATCCGATATATATGTCGCACCTATTAAAAACTTAATTTATTAAGTATTATTTACTATGTTTATAGTAAACGAATGTTTATAGTAAACTGTATCAGTAAAAACTTTGTCTCTATTACTATGACAAAAATAGAAATCTGAAATATTTATTTTTCATATTAAAAAATAAACTTTTTGAGACCCTTGCTTTTTGCTGTATATCGGAGTGAGATATATGGCTATTCATAGGGGGAGAGGAGATATGTACGGCTCACGAAAAATTTACAAATAATTCATAAGACGTATAATGACATAATAATTTATAAAGTTTTATTAAGGAATAAAAATGGTAAATATGTATATGAAGTAATAAATAATAATTACAACCTTCTTACATATATTACAAGTATTATGACATGATATATATTTCATATAATGCGTTCATTGCATTTAATGCACTGAATTCAATCTGCGCACTTTGTATGCTTTGGACATAAATCCCGCTCGCTAAAAATGCTGTATATCTCAAATAAATAGGATATACAAGACAACAAACTGAACAAAAAATACGAAAGCAAAACACTTGTCTTGTTATATAACATGCTTTACTATTCCACTACACGTATGTATCACGAAATAATCACTAAGTCTTTTATCACACGCCCTACAATAATCATTTTAAATAGATTATAATTTATGATGGCATTATTTATTAGAGTGATAAATCGATTCAATTCACAATAATTTCATTAATATTAACAATAAGAAGCTGAAACACAATACTAATATAACATAAAGATGTATAACAGAATAGTTGCGGAAAAATTACTCCCACTCCTTCTATTTTTTCTGACTTCTGCGACGTAAATCTCCCGCGCGGCGTATTTGCCGGAATTACCCTATATTTAGTTGAAGTTTTAGATACTTCAGCGAAATTGATATTTCCGTGCAAATTAAAGAAATTATAAACATTTTTATCTAATGTTTAAAATCTATTATTAGAAAAAATAAAATTATTAAGTGCAATCTTAAATATTTAAAATCTCAATCTTACTCTAACAGAAAGAGAAGATAAAGCGCGATAAATGAAAATGGCATGATCAAAAATCTGGACTTAAAGTGAACATCTGATGGCGCCAGTGCTCTTTTCGCAAAAAAAAATTAATTAAAGATTATTCTTACATAATAAGACAAGTTTCGATCGCGCTAATCCGATTGACATTTCAGAGTTCGTGAATGTTGAAACGCGTAGCATGATAAATCCTATCGCGGAGATTTATTGTAAGAAAGCATAACGGGAGAAGGCTTTAAAAGAACTGTCGAATAATATACGTAAAAATGAATTAGAATACTTACAGCCATTTTATACATCTGCCATCTTGGACCAGCAACAACACGAGCAGCAGTAGCCAGACTTTAGCACCGCTTCGCTTCTTTATCCACATCTTTCTTCGTTTCGCATTCTAAAAGTTTAACATTGTCTTTCTCCGTCCTGGGAATCGTAAAGACGATTTTCTTTCCGTTCTTTCAAACACCGCCGATCATCCCTCGATGCGGCGTAATTCGCTTCGCAAAGATTCGGGATCTCTTCATCGGGTCCATTGTTCTACGTAATCTCGCAAAGTCGTGATATTTTTCTGTCCGTGTAAAAGAAGCGATGTTTTTGAAAACTATCTTTAATGCATTTTGAAAAAATTCTCTTTTTATTTGTGTCCTTTATATATATTCACTCCGAAGTCTTTGATTCTACATCGATGTCGCTACATATTTAATATTCGCATTTTACCGACTCGATCAATTTTTCAAAAATAATTGGATGACGAATTTGAATCAGTTTTGGATCACTTAATTAAGACGAACAATGTTTCAAGAAACAGCGAAAAGTCTTCTTATAGATATTAGATACGAAACTTCTTCTTTGTACGATGATTCACAAAAGAGCGAATGAGAAGAAGAAAGACTACTCGTTGAACACGCGTTTAGAGACACAAGAGACACCACTCTTGTTAAAATTGACGGAAAACAGTACGTCTCAGGATCCTTCAGGATCTGCTGCGATTTCGGCAAACTTTCACCGTGCACCGTACGTCCGGCTCGGCGGGGAGTCTGCGTGCTTACAGGTGTCCGTCGGAGCAGTCCCGCAGGATTTGCCGGTCGGTGGTGGTGGTGGAGGTCCTCCTACTACTTCACTTCCTCCTACTTCGCCTCCTACTTGAGCCTCCTCTTTTCTCGATGTATGAGGAGCCCAATGATCGACACCGGGGATGCCGCCAAATAAGAAGAAGGCGATCATTGCCATTAACCCTCTCACTTCTATAAGAGCATATACTTTTTTTATTCACACACTGAACAAAAATTTACTAAATCTTAAAATATTTCTTTGATAGTATTAAATATATATTTATTTACAGTAAAATTTTACTACAGTAAAATTCAGTCAATCTTTTATCTTCATTGATTGATGAATCCCATCTTCGAAGGAAGATGTATAAATTTCAAAGAAAATAAAATATTCCATTAGAAAAATCTTATGTAATTCTCTCAATGTAAATCGGGAAGATTTTTATTGTCTGCCAACGCGAATTATATTTATACCTCAGTCACTAATTAATTCTGTCAACGGATTATGCTTTCCTAGCTCTCGGTTCTACCGAAAATTATACATCTCGAGAATATATAACGAATAATATCTTAAAAAAGAAAGATGAACGGAGGCTGGAGACCACCTCCGCGGAATTGACTTTAACGAGCAGGCGGTATCTTTGTGATCATTTATTTTACTATGAGGCGGAGCCAAAACAATTTATCCCTGCCTTTACCATTTAAAGGCTGGTGAGCATTGGTGCTTTCTCGCTTCGATTTGTTGATCGGATTCGAATGAGTATCGACGCGTTCATACAGAAAAAAATTCGTCGTATTAAATCTGTCTAGGCTCTCTTTGATTAGATTCAATTATAGCTATTATAACATTTATGTGATCTTACTCAATAGTACATTTTTAGAATTAAATCTTTCTTTAAAAGTAAATCTTATTTAAAAAGAGTACAATTTTTATATAAAAAATAAATCAATTTTTATTTTAATATAGTCATATCACAAGTAAGTCTACATTAAATAAATGCATAGAATTGCTTTCTATTAATAATTTTGACGAGGTTTCGATTTTATAATTTATTATAGTATTTATGGATAAATTAATATAATTTGTCTACATATAATAATACAATTTTATGCAATTAAAATATAATACTTATGATATCTACGCGTGCATTATAATAACAATTTCATATAATTATTTCATTAATTAATTATAATTATATATTTCATTAAGCTTAATCTTTCTCTCGCACGCACATTTTCTATTCCCATTATGTACACACATTAATGTCGATCAACGGCAAATCAACAACACAATTAGCGCAAATAAATTTCATCGAGATATATTGTATGCCTCAATTGGAAGAAGCTATGAGCTCCCTGCCCCTCGCTAATTACCATGCCAATTTTGTCCACGGTGCCGATCGTTCGTCTTCCTTCCTGTTCTCCTTGGTCGATGCCTCGCTCGGCCCTTCCGTTGCCCCGCTGCCGTCGATAAATAATCCTCCGTCAGACGTTCATTACGTCGTTAAGTTTCGGCCCCGGACTTATATCCACCCTCCGTCCCGCACGCGGAACCCAACGAGCGGGTTCGCCCGCAGCGGTAACCCTGGAAATACCGCGTGCCGTGTAAAAAGGCATACCATCGCACCAATCGCACCAATCAATAGAGAATATCGGCATTAGTGAAGAGCAACGAGCGACTTCCTTAAAAACTTGATTTTTAATAGACAGAAATAACAGAAATTTTAACTTCTAATTTGAAATTAAGGAAGTGAATGAGGCTGCACATGTAACTAATCACAAGATAAATTTCAGGAAAAAATTCTAAGATAAGAAACAATTAAATTTTTTTTATCAATTACAATTAGAAGGATTTTATCAAAAAATTTAAAAATTTAGCTAAATATAAATTTGAAAATAAATTTATTAGACAAAATAATGTAGGACGCGTTTATACTGATTGCTAAAATGTCAAAATTTTTTGCAACATTGATTATAATGTTTGAATATTTTAAGTAATTGTTTTGAGGCTGAATTTTTAGATACTTTACAAAACTGTTCTTTCTATATGAATATCAAATTTATGATATACTATATCTTTTATTTAGAAATTAAAGATGCAAAAACGAGAATTATAAATATAATTAAAAATGCTGCATATATAGCGTTGTTTTATTTTCACGCAATTATTACCACTTATATCCGATAAGATATCGCGATATGTCTGCATTGCATTAACTGTAAAATCAGATAGCAGATGCCAACGTTCCTCAGTTGCTCGTAGTAAAGATAACTGGAAAGATCGAATGACAGGCATTAGCTGTTACTTTCGCGAGACTCGGAAATGTGCAGCGCGCAAATGCATCGTGCAATTACCGCAGCAAAAGTATTCCGAGAAGTAACGTGTTTCTCGCCGTGGGCGATCCATGTGGGTGCACGCGCAATAACTTCACGAAACAAAAGTAGAAGTATCTCTGTTTCTACCACCCGGTTTACAGAATGAATGGCACATTAACTTATATATTTGCGATTTGCGCAATGCGTTTACACCTCATTAATTTAAGAACCGTAGACGAGTGAGCGCATTGCGAACGCCGGAGAATTTCTCGCGCAACTCTATTATATGCGTATAAAGTTTGTCCATAAAGTTTGTCTCGTTATTTATCATTAATAACGTATTCGTCTAATTAGCCTCTCGCGATCTCGAATAAATTCTTTTCATTTTTCTTGATTCCGTCCCAATTATTATTTCATCTATCGCGGATGAAACTGTTCCGCTTATCGAAAAGGATATTTCTACATTTCTTGTGGGATTAACAAGAGATATATATATATATATTTCTTTTTCTTTATATACTTTATATACTTTATATATTTCTTTCTTTATATTTCTATTTTGTTTCTTCTGACTTTCACAATTTTTCTATAACTTTTAATCTTTACGAAAAGCAAAAAAAAATGAAATCGGCTGATCAGGCTGAATAATAAACTAATAAGGATGAAGAATCATCGATGAGGCGTCGATATAAAAAATAAATGAGTTAAAGGCGACTTTATTAGCGGGGAAAGTTAGACGGACGAAAGAGAGCATCTCCTTCGTCTCAGATTATTTCCCGGCATTATTCGCCGAAGAAGACATCGGCTATAAAAAAGGGACAAGCAGGCGACAGCTGCTTCGCTATTAAAAGCGACTTAAACTCCAAACCCTTCCTGTGATCGTAGAACGCGAAGGTACCCCTTCGCGGCCCCTCCCCCATCCTCATCCAGTCACTTACTCTCTATTTCTCATCCGCTCCCTTTCGCTTCTTCTTATTCCTCTTGCTCTTCTCTACGTCGTCGTGCCATCCCTCTTCTCGTGATTACGCGCGGGCAAAGCGTAAAGCCACGCGTACGCGTCTACGCGTCTGCGACTTCTTGCTTGCAAATAAGCGAATTGCTAAATGAGCCGTAAAGCTGAACCTCGGGGAAGAAAGAGACGAGGGCAGAATGTGCACGGGCCCCCGCTTGGTCCTAGATTAGAATTTAGAGCCGGCATCCTCTCTGTTTCTCCGCGGTCCGAGAGCACCGCGGGCACGTGGAGAACGGCAGTAAAACACGTTCAAGAAGAATGGCCGTTCGAAATATTAAAGAGCGAGATGAAAAATGGACCGTGAGTGAAGGGACGCGCGCGAAGCAACTATGAAATTATTGCTCCTCTCCGTTGTGTCTCGCAATAACTTTTACAACTCTGTGGTATTAATTAAAAGTCGCGTTTCTTGCTTCCTATATACTTTATTATTATAAATCATTTGGTTTAAGCAAAGATGAAAGATGCATATAGAGGAGATAGATAAAATAATGTGAACACTTAAGAAATATAACTATCCACTTATTTTCTTAATAAGAAATTGATCTACCATTTAATGCAAAAATTCTGTTCTTGTTGAAATATTCAAACATCTTTAAATAGTGCAATAACAGCTACAGTGCAGTATTATATCATTCTTTTCGCAGAACTTTTTGTCTTATACTTAAATCAGATATTAGCCAAAAAAAATGTTGAAGTTTTAAAGAATGACAGAGGACAATTTTAAAAATAAGATGGAAAAAAAATTTTCTTCTCCAATATTATTTATATAAGCAATATCATTGATATGAGCGAAATTATATGAAAGACGTTAAAGAATAGTCCAACATTCCATTCGTAATTTATTAAAGCACATGAGTGACTCTTTCAATAAGGATAGAATGTGTATTAAAAGTAAAATGATGAGCCAACTTTTTATTAATAAAAACAAGTAGTAAAATAAATAGTGTATTTTCCAGATGTTTATATTATTTCATTTAATTCATCCCTTAAAATTCATTCCTTTATATCGATCATAAGGCGCGAGAGTCATCGTAGAATCAAACAATTAGTATTCGTAAAATTTTTGTTTTTTTATATTAAACAATTAATCTGCAAATAAAATGCGTGAGCGCGATCGTTCCATAAGTAACTAATAAATGCTTAAAAATGTAAGACGGATGAGCTCATGGCACTTTGTGGGTTCACCCTCACCGACAAAATCGGACGTCGCGAAAGTTCAGAACTGTCTATTTGCATGGACACGATTAATTAATACGATACCGGTAATTAAATAGACATCAACCTTCTCCGTGCACTGTAGCATCTAATCTGCATAATCTCTATACAATAACGTCAGTGAAAAGAAGAGTTTTGTCCCTCCAACGATAAACTTTTTGCCTCCCTCAACGGTCAACACCCGCTACCCCGCTAATAAAGATATACAGGGTGACCCAAACGAGTGAACGGAACGGAACATTAATGAACATTATGACACGATACGCTTCTTACTAGAATCTAGAACAAAAATTAAATAGATTGATATCAAGTCGTACTAATTTATTTCAATAAATCACTTAAGTTTCAGGATGATATAAATATGTAATAAAAGAAAACTTTATTCACAACTAACAAATTGTATTTTAGCGGAATCTTTACGCCATCAAGATTAATCAAAGTATTATGTACAAGTAGATAATGAAATATTTCAATAAATTATGAACGCGAACGTGGCATGACAAACTGGTCATGCCAGAAGTCCCGAATACGATCTCAGTAGAAAAATATAGTACCAGTAACCAAAGTAGAAAAATACAGTAACCAAAATATTTACGCTTTACGCTTGTGTCTCCTCTCGGAAAAGACCGACAATCTCCCGAGAGTATTCTTGCCCACAGAAACATCTCTCGAAAAATCCGCCATTCGGAACCGGAATTAAAACTGGTTCCATAGCAATTGAATAATCAACATACGCATCACAAGCATTGAGAGAGATGTAACATAGGCCAGAGATCTAACGTAAGAAGAAGAAGGAGAAGAAATAAATTATGAATTCTTTGGATTAAATATTATAATTTTATAATTTAATATTTTATAAAATTATAATTTTTAATCCAAGAAATTCATAATTTATTTAATTAATTTAATTAATTTAATTAATTAAAAGCAATAATATTGTGATCTTGAATAATTTTAATAATCAGATTGTCGATTATTTATATTATAAAATTTAATTACAATAAATACTTAAATTTATCTCGCTATACAATATTCAAATGTAAAAATCCTTAAGTCACTTCCAAAATGATATGCAGTTTTATTCTATTTAATTTATAATAGTCTGGAAGTGACTTAAGGGTTTTTACATTTGAATATTATATAGCAAGATAAATTTAAATATTGTAATTAAACTTTATATAATGTTTTTGTCTTCAAAAATGTTATCCGAAGAAGCTATTTACTTAAATTGCGATTAAAAATATAATAAATATATTTCTTAGTACCAAATTGATCTTAAAATTCATTTATTATGACAACGATTAACGAATGCATCAATGTTTTAAAACTAATATCAATCGAGTTCAGCAGAAACGCTCTCAGATAAGATCGAAATAAAATCGTTATATTTCCGCGTATTCAGCTCCATTTATCGTAAAATATACTTTGTTGCTCGGTACATAGTCGTCCGGCAACCACGGTATCCAAGTGTAATTGTTAGAGTTGGACGGATAGCCAGCAGGATCGGCATCTAAAATAATCGCTTCCTCGTAGCCCTGCCTTTTATAGCATTCGATGAGCACGTTCAAACTCTTCACAATCTGCAAATGTAATGATGTCTTTTTAACTGGCAGCATTTCTTATTTCCATCTTCCATCTTCTCTGTGCCAGATGGAATTGCCGATTTTTACGTAATTTAATTGTGTAAAAGTCATTTTCTTTCCTAGCGGTCGCAAAGAATCGCAAATATTGAGGCATCTTACACCATTATAATTCAATATTATAGTTTTGGACATGAGCATAAAACACCCGCAAAAGTTGATAAGCGTTGATAAGTGTAGCTAACTTATTTCATACTTATATAATTTTTTCTATTCCTATTTACAATTGTTCAAGACATGACAATAATAATATCGTGAACATGCAATAATATCTTAAACGTTCTGCGGTACGTATTGTAATGCGATATTTTATATATATATATAT